GCAGCTGAACAACCGAGCCGAGGGTTAGTCCGGTGAGAGTCTCCACAGGACGGACAGCCGGACAGGTATGGCAGTTTCATCCACAGTTATTATTAGTTTACAGAGCAAGAATTCCCTGTTTCGTACTTAAATGACACATTTGTTTCTGCTTCTCACTCCCTGTATTGTCATTGAGTTAAATATTGGAGTTTATTAAATAGAATACCTAGAAGAAGTACCTAATGTACTTTATCATACAGGTGAGATAAAGCCTGTGTATATTTTCACTAGTAGTGCTAATGTTGACATGTAGCCTCCATATCTTTTAAAGTAAATGTTCCCACCAGCTGCCACCTCATCACACAGCATTTTATACCTTACCTAACCTTGACTCAGCCCTGGGGCTTCTTTGAATATAACTTTATTATACAATGTAAATGTGAGTCACATCTGCATGTGATATGGTTTGTTTTCATGTTTTTTAATAGCATATCTTGCACATGCAAATACAACACATCTCAAAAATATTCTCTTGCACTACTTTTCTATTGTTATGTATTGCACTATTTGTATTGGTTGTATTTGTTTTATGTCCTCTACTGTATATTCATGTTGAATTGATGGAGGAGCCTGGGACTTAAGTTTTTCATTGCCATATCTACACTGTAGCTACTGGGCACATGACAATAAAGCCTTGAGTCTTGAATCTAAAAATGTCTTGTGCAATTTGACAATGGAATATTTTCTATTGTATTCTTCTTAACAAATGAATACCTCTCAATAAACTAACAAAGCCTCCCCCTCTGTGTTCCAGGAGAGACAGGATGTGGAGCTGCAGTCTTTGGGCTCTCCTGCCTCCAGTCTACTCTGCCTTCACTGCTGCGGGACTTTGGGTGGTGTAAGTTCTCTTAATTATAGGACTATCTTTAAATATCAGTTTTAAAGCGACATTTAAACAAATGATAATAATTTAAGATAATAGAACCCACATCTTATGTTTTCCTTCACCAATTCATATATGTTTTTGCAGTGTGCTGTAAATATAATCTCTGTTGTTATGATTCTCCTCACCGCCATCTTTTTTTATAGATACTTTGTTGCTGTCAATCATCAGACTATAGCACCCCTGGGTTCAAAATACAAGTAAGAATTCAAAAAGATTACATACAGCAAAGCATTACTCTCTTTATCTTTGGATTCATCTCACTTTTAATTGTTTTCAGGAGAAGAAATGGATCCTTCTATCCTCCCTACATTAGGTACAGACTCATCATTTCCTCTTCACAATAAAAGCATATTAATTCTTGTTAATCCTTATTTTTAAGAACAGCAAATACAAATGTGTCACCCTTTTAGTGTTGCAGGCAACTCTCCACCTGCCAGCTGCATCTTCAGCGAAGTCATGAACCTGGCTGCGTTTGTGGGTAAGAATGGTGGATAGAAGAATATAATACAGATTTTTATTAAAAAAAAATTAATGTTCCATTCTTGTCAATTTCAGGCTTCATTCTGGCTGTCCTCAGATACCTTCAGCTGAAACACACAGTGGTCAGTCAGTGTCTGAATGCTGGCAGTCTGTTGACCTTCTCTTTTGGCTGCTTTGGGATGACACTAGTAGGAAACTTCCAGGTAACGTGCACCTATGGCACATTTATATTTTTGCATATTTATAAGAGTTAATTGATCTGTTTTGGTTTTAGATATTCACTGAGGAGATGATCCACAACTTTGGCACCTTGATGACGTTTGGCCTGGGCACGCTGTTCTGCTGGGTGCAGTCCTACATCACCCTGAGAGCCAACCTGAGGAACGAAGGGAGGAAGGCCGGGATCCTCCGCTTCCTTTTGTCCGGATCCATCACTCTCTGCATGATACTCTGTATCCTTTAACACTTTAAGAAAGAAATTAACATATTATTTAAAAGTAAATGACTTCTGTTTAAACGTTTTTTAAGTTCCTGCCACAAAAGTGTTACTAGTAAGTACTGTCATCAGACTCAGAATACTTTATTTATCTCAAGGGGAAATTGGATCAAATGGCTGAGAGAATAATTTGATATCTTTATGTATAAGTCTTTCTTGCTTTGAGGCTGTCGATAGTACTCAGTATTAATGTACTTAATTTAGTAAACAATGGTTTAACCACATTGACAATTAAAAACTCAGAAAAAGGCAATATTGAAATGTTCTGTTCAATCTCCTTATTTGAAAAATGTTAGCCCTGTGCTATAGGGTTGGATAAAGTCTAAATCTAGAAAAGAATCCCACATTACACGCCAAGCAGATTTTTATAGCAGAATTAAGAGTTAACATGTTGCCAGGTTGTGTTTTTATGTACTGTAATCCCTCAGTTACAAGTGTCACTCTTAACTCCCTGCTACAGATTTCTCCCTGATGGCTCAGGGCTTCCACATGCAGGCCGCTCAGTGCCAGTGGACGCTGGTCATGTTCTTCCTCATCTTCCTCAGCACTTTCGGCATTGAATTTCGTCACAACCGCTTTGACATCATGTGTACAGAACACTCAGGGGGTCCTGAAAGCCTGTCGGACAGTTTAGAAGTGTCCAGGTACCAGCCGGACCAACTGTAAGGATGGATTATCTCCTTTAAAGATGTGCAGGTTTAACTGCAGGAAACGCATGGAACAGCAACTTTAAGATGCATTTATTCTATATACAAAACTGTTTTTACACCAATTGTTAACTTTACTTTAACCATTAGTTTCACATCATGACGTAATGAATGCAAGTTCCTCTATAAGTGTTTTAGAAGTAGAGAATCTGCTGGCTTTATCAATCATTGTATTTATATGGAAGGATGTTTTAGTGAATGAGTTATACCCAGAGCCGGCCCTAGACATTTTGGTGCCCTAGGCGAGATTATGATTTGGTGCCCCCGCCCCTCCAAGCAATACACAATAGAATATATAAAGAATAAATGAAAAATCTCTACAAAAGACAAATACATTACAAAAACTGAAACGTATTGACATGTTGGTTATACATAAAGAAGGTTTTAAATGTATTCATTATTGTATGAACATGTTTTAATTGGGAGGTTGACGTCACATCCTCTACGGGGGTCCGGGGGTATGTCCCCCTGGAAGGATTTGTTTTAACATTTTAAAGTAAAATGCTTCAATCTGGTGCACTTTGAGCAGAATTACTAGAGACTAGATCTAGGGGGTACAATCTAAACACCCATATGAAAAAGATTGGTTTACATTTTGATAATCAAATAAGTATGTGAACATAACCAATAACCTACCATAGCCAATAACAAAAAAATGTAACGTATTTTATTTTTGTTGTTCATTTATATCTTATTTTACCTAGTTAACATTTATTTATTCATGCATATTTTTTAATATCTCCAGTTTTAAACGATATTTTTGGCTTGCTGTCCTATAGTATACATTGGAATGATTTCAAACTTGTTATTTATCCTAATAATTATAAAGGTGTGCCTTGGAAATATTTGTTTACATAAATGGTGACCAAACTAAATAAAAATCTAGAACGATTTAAACATTTGAGAAAATAAGGTATTTGCACATTTCTTTAAAGCAACTCCTAATTTATTAAAAGGAATAATTCACTATTTTGATAAATAAATGTGCTATTGTGCCAAAAGTTAAAAGTAAATTTGATACCACTCTGAGAGACAGTTGTATAAATCTTCTCATCTAACTCTTTAAAAGAGGGTAAATAAAAAAGTATACCTACATGTAATAATGACTTAGACTTTATGAATCAATACCACAAGCGAAAAATAAACTTATTTTAGGAGTTTGACACTTTAACTTGCCTTAATTGTTAATGTGTAAGCTTTTCCATTACAGAAAATATGTATTTATAGACACGGTCAAACAAACATTTAGACTGAGAGAGGAGAGAGGCGTCTGTGTGATACAAGGCATTTATTGGAAGCATGTTTGTAAGATTTCCTGAATAACACCAATTATGTTTCACACACATAAATCATCAATTTGGCAACTTGCAAAAGGTAACTTTCCAACAGCAACATTACGAGGATGGCACAGTTAAACAGATAGCGTTCACCTGCAAGGGGACTAGTTAAGACAGAGTTTGAACTGAGAACTTCCTGTCAGCAGCACCACTGCTGAGTGCATCTACACTGTAGTTCTACTTTCTAAAACATTACAACGCTTAACGGGTCAATTACTGGATAAGACGTCATACATCTGCAACACGTGTGTATGTGAAGAGGGGAGGAAACAGCACATCGATGGAAAATGTTTACAAAACGGTGACAAATACGACACAAACAGTTGGAAAGTTGTCATTAAAATTGGAGAGGTTTACCAACCGAGCGTTGTTAAAAAGGTCATGTGTGCAGTTTCCTACAGGCCTCATTTTACAGCTTTTCTGATCTCTTCCCAGTGAGTAGGGTTGCAGCATTCCAAGAATTTTCAAAGATGGAAACTTTCCACGGGAATTAATGGGAATTTTCAAAATTGAAGGTTGGCTCTTCATAGGGAACTTCAATATAGTTGGGGAAAGTATATTTTAGCATAGTCTTGACTAAAACAAACAAATCAAGTACACTTGAATATCCATGCCATTGCACACTGCTTACTGCATGGCTATTGAGACCACACAAAGGTTCGCAACAGGCTCACAAATGTGAAAGTGGAAAAACTGGTTGGCATTCGGGCAAACCTAAGGCTCTTTGAGCCTGACACAGAGCCATCCTCAACAAGGCTGGACAGTGACACTGAAGAGCAAGACTCAGAGTGTGATGTTGATGAGGCCCAGGAAGAGCCCGTTGAATGAAAGGGTTTAGCCAAAATGCAGAGGATCGCTTGAAGGAAGATGTGCATGTTTAATGGGACTTTTTGGAGGGAGAAGGGCTCTTTTCATTTAACATTTTGAATGGGACTTTGTGGATATTTTTGGATGGGAGGTGCATTTTTGTTCATTTTTTAATGAGTGGGGTTGGGGGGGGATGAGTAACATTTAACTCAACATTCCTGTTAATATAATAATTAAAATAATTAAAACTTTTATTAAATTTTTTTTTTTTTTTAAAGAAATCTGTTGAAATGTCATGTTTTTTTGTTTAATTTTGCATCGAATATTTACAAAATTCCCCAGCTTAACTTCCCATGGAAACTTTCCGGAAATTTACCGGAAACTTTCCACCCCTTTGCAACCCTACCAGTGAGTGATGTTGCTATAACCCTTCGCAGATCTGTCTCCATTGAAAGGCACCCTCACAGAACGGGGTAGATTGACTCCTTACAGGCCGGGACCTCTAACAGGAGTCCCAGCAGCTTCTCCTACACCTTTTGAACTGTCAACGCGGAACAAACTAAAACATTGCAAAAAGGAGAGAGGTGAGGGGGCTGGGAGGGCAAAGAAAAGAAAGAACAGGTCATTATGAAACAAAGTGTTCCTCCTAGCTCTGTTAAACACGTCCCGTCACTTCCAGTTGGCTAAAGGATGTAACGAGGCTATAGTGGGAGCGCTCGTCATCCGTCAGCTCCATGTTCCCGGACCTGACCACCACCACCACGTTCACCCCCGCTTCCTCTGCTGCTTTGGCCTCTGGGAGGACAAATACACAAGCATGGATCCCATGTTAATTCAGCCTTTAAGCAAAAATGAAACTTGGTTGTTTATTGCATGCTGTGATCAATTACAGCTGAATATTTCTGCTTTCTGTGAAGATTATGCACAATTGTTGTTTGTAAGATTCCTCCACAGGACGTTGTTAAAAAAAAAAAAAGATTTGTGAGGAGGCTAAATGCTAACGTTTAATTAGCATTAGCTAATTGGCACTAAACAAAGTCGAGCTGAAAACTTTGGGAAAATAATACCAACACATAACACAAGTTCAGCAATGAATAATAATAACAAAGAAAGTCATTTCCAGTTTGTTTTCCATACAGAATTTAAGTTTTCTATGGAAGGAACACATCCTAGTATGTATCACTTTCTTGCTCTTATTATACATTTACAATGCTAAGGACCTTTGCTAACACACTTACCTCGAATGACGTCGGTCAAGAATGTGATTTCTTCTGGTTGAAATCCAATCCTCTCAGCAATTCTCTCGTAGCTTTTACGTTCCACTTTAGCACCTATACTGGTGTCAAAGTGACCATCTAATAACTGAAATCATTGGAAAAAATAAACCGGCAAATATCTCGTTAGCCACCATATCCATAAAACAAACAGCATGGGCTTTACAAAATATGTTCTTCTTCTTAAGAGAAAGGAGGCAGTACTTACATCTAACACGTCTCCTTCCTCAGAGTATCCAAACAGAAGTTTCTGTGCCTCCACGCTTCCCGAGGAGTAAATGTACACTTTTAGTCCTTGTTCTCTCCATCTTTTAAGGGATGGAATTACATCCTGGTAGACCCTGTTTGCACCAAGACCAATATCAGAATATGACCATAATTTAATTACTTTTTATAAAAGCACATTGAACCCGATTATATGGTTCCAAAATAATCTCAGAGATCAAACATTTGTAATGGATTTGAGCATGGTTTACCATTGTTTGCTTATTTCAGGAATTGCAAATAAATCAAACATTGATAAAGAAAGTAAACAAGATTAAAAAAAAAAGGGAAAAATGCATCATGCTGAAATAAATAAATGCTTGTTTGCTTTAAATGAATTAACGACTAACACAATTATTTCTGCTCTGGTTGATGAACTGTTTGGGTAAAAACAGTATTCCTGTTCTGTTTCTGGAAACCTTGCCAAGTCGTCACCTATGTTTGAACCCATTAATTTTGAAGTGAGGAAAATGATCAGTGTACTTACTCGCCTTTGATTCTCCCAGAAGAATATGCTGACCTCCACATGTGGCCCTGTAACTGTTTGAGTGCTGTCGACTTCCTGTCTGCCGCCATCTGCCAGAGCACATTATCCATTACCTCTCTAATAGCCTTCTCCTCGTCTGTGTGCACCGTCTGGTCCACGGTGTGGACGGGGCACGACCGGTGCTGCCTCATGTCCTCTTCAATCTGCAAACACAGCCAGGCTCCTTTATTTAGGCAGAATTAAAGCCTCGCAACATGCTTCATTTTTTTAAGTAAAGAAAAAATATCCGTCTTATTTGTTGTCATTACCTCTGTCAAGTATTTGAGCAAAATTAAGACCTTTTATAAAGAATATTCTAGCAAAATAATCTGTCCTGCATCTCTACCACCTGACTTTAGTGTCTGGGAACCACAGGCAATAATAATAATAATAATAATAACAACAATAACAACTGTATTTATTTAGCAACTTTCACGCAAGATGCAGCCCAAAGTGCATTACAGTGCAAGCTAAGATACATAAAAACAATACCAATGAGACAAATAAAGAGTAGGAAACATAATAAGACAAATCAGCAAGCTTTCCACATGGTTACCTGTTTCTTTAGGAGATGAACATCTTGTTTGCACTCGTCTTCCTCCCAGTGAGTAGACAAGTACTCCTCAAGATGCTCTCTGATGTATGGAAATAAGATATCCTGAAAATATGAAGTGGAGTCATTAGGCGTGGTAACAGAAGCTCTTTATAGAGGGAGAAAAATAATATAATTCAGACACAAAACATTTCCTCTACTTCAATGCAACATTGTTTTGGTTTCAATAGCTTTTTGGAATAATTGTGTAAGCAGATATTGCTGGCAAAAAGTTAGTACTGTTTCACACTAAAATAATTGTCAGTATGGTAGAGGATGTTTAATTTAAAATGTATTAAGTGATCATTGTTATTTTGGGTACATTTAAAAAAGATATATTGATTAAAGTTGTGGCTCATGGGATTCCTATACAGGAACTATTGTCTATCTATTGTGGAAATGTATACATACCATCAGTTAAAAAAAAATGTGTAGGACTGTTTTACTTCATTTCATATATTCATTAATGTTGACTCCCTCCTTGTTTTGTGTTACTTTTGTTTGTCCCATCATTTACTTTTATATTGTATGACTTGTGTATCGGTTACATTTGAAGTATTATTGTGTATTCGTATCAATGTATTGTTAACCGATGTAACATTTATGAAACTCGAAATTACGACTACTCCAATAACATGAACGCGGCATGAGGTTATTTTTTAATCAGGTAGTCGTGAATTTTTACTGAAACGATTTTATTTAATGTGAATATACATTTAGCAGTAAATAGTTTATGGAAGCAAAATATGGTTAAATGTAGTTAAAATAATAATAATACATTTGATTTACCAAGCGCTTCACCCGGTGCTCAAAAACGCGTTACAGAGGTAAAAACAAGATACAAGTCAAATTAAAAACAACAGCTGAATAGCCACAATGGTCGAACAACGTCCATCTTTAGCTGGTTTAGCTGCTGTCATCTGTTAGCATGGCCGTTAATAGTCGTCAGTGAACGCTGCATAATTAGCCAACCATGCTGAAACTGAAATGATATCTAATATAACTTACCTTTACAAATGTGATTGGTGTTGTTGTCCCTTCGATATCAAGCAGGAGTGCACTAGTACATGCAGGAATTGAAATAGTGGCCATTTTTCAGGAGAGTCTGCAGCTTGTTAGCTGACGCTAGCTTATACTTAGCTTCACAACAGAGTTAAAGTAGGCGCTCCTCACTGGATCTCTAACCCCGGGACAGGTGACGCAGAGCAAAGATTATCCACACGATAACAGATGTAGGCTACCACCTGGTTAGTTGTTAGCCACTAGCCAGCTGTGCTTTGCCATCAACTCGCAGCTAACACTGACTTGACTGAAAGAGCCACACATGTTCAGAGCTGTCAGTTCATGCTGCGGCTCCGAGGGGGCGCCACTGAGCGTATTACTGCCGGGAAAAAACACGCAAACAAGAAGCCAACGGAAAGAGGCTGCGATGAAAACAAAACGACGCTCACAAGAACGCCTTTTTCGTAGCAACTTAAACAACATTTGCATTTATGACAACTGTTTTCGTCTAGATATAAACTGATTTTACACTTTTATTTATTTAGATAGACCAAATATATTCCCCTATTTTACGTCAAAAGTATAACAAATCATACTAGCTTAGCATTAGCTGTCAAAAAGCCAGCTAGCTTAGCTTCTCCCGGGAATTCTGAGTTCATCATCGACAACTTTAACAATAACAAACAACAATGTCGGACGATTATGAATTCAGCGATGACACTACTATGATGAGAATGGAAGAGGATGGAGAGGCAAACAGCGATGACCCGATGTCTGCAACCGGGGACTGTGGCCTGATGGGGGGCGAGGCCGAGGGATCCAAGATCGACGCCAGTAAAAACGAGGAGGATGAGGGGTAACGTCAACAAATAAAACTCTTAAGTCATATTGATTGAAAAACTGTCCACGATTACAATATATTACTATTTTATGTCATCAGTGTGTTACTATAATAATATAAAAAACTTGTGTTGTTAAAACCTCATCAAGTGCTGATTTGTATTGGTGGAGTCCAACTAACATCGAGTTAATTTACTGTAGCGTTACTGTACTCAAGTACACATTATAGGTACTTTTCAGTCTTTCCATTTCATGCAACTTCATGCTCCACCAACGTTACATACAGGAGACAAATATTGTTCTTTTATACCTCTACATTTGACAGCTGTAGTAACGTTTTAGATTCCAATTTATTTCTCATCACATTTCTGTCCAGGAAAAACAAATACAAACGTATAGTCTCCTCTTGTTCTACTAGAATTAATTTATGAGAATATAGTGGCCAAAGGTTAAAGTGGACTCAGGTTCAAGTGGACTCAGTCACTTGAAATGTGGCAATAACACAAGACTTCAAACACTAACCATGGCAATTTTACACAAATGTTTCAAAAGAGGACATGTAATTATTACAGAAGAAATGCATGGAAAATGTTACTGCACATTTCCGTTTTTTTACTTTAATTTCATACAATACCACTCTTAATTAAGATTTTGAATGAAGGACTTTTTTTTTAAATGTTTACTTTAGAAAATGAGTGCTTCTCCATTGCTTCTAAATCTGCATTTTGGTTTCTTTTAAATGTGCTGTTGTCTGTAGGAAGATGTTTGTAGGAGGGCTCAGCTGGGACACCACTAAGAAGGACCTGAAAGATTATTTTTCCATATATGGGGAAGTTGTAGACTGCACTTTAAAACTGGACCCCATGACGGGCCGCTCGAGGGGCTTTGGCTTTGTCCTCTTCAAGGAACCTGATAGTGTCGACAAGGTACTGTATTGCTGCTTTTCTCTGTTAAAGATGAATGTTAACTGAATATAATTTGAGTTAAAGACAAAATTAGCAATTTAAATATGTAACCGTGGAGTTTATGAAGTGGAATTGCAATGTGACCAGTTTGTCAATTGATTATTTTTGCTATAAAGGTTGCTACACAGAAGGAACATAAACTCAATGGAAAGGTCATTGATCCCAAGAAAGCCAAGGCGATGAAGAGCAAGGAGCCTGTTAAGAAGATTTTTGTTGGTGGTCTTTCTCCCGACACCCCTGAAGAGAAAGTCAGAGAGTACTTTAGTGCCTTCGGAGAGGTATATATTTTGGCTAAGTTGGCTAAATATATTTTTCATCCATGTTATGAACTTCACTCTAGTGGCATGGCTGTTTAGGGCTCCTGCCAAACTCATAATAATGTTTTCCCCATTGTTTATTTTTGTAATCACAATTAAACACTTAACTTCTATTATTATATATTATTTTGTACATTCATTGATAATGTTAACAGCTGGAGTCAGTTGAACTTCCCATGGAGAACAAAACAAACAAAAGGAGAGGCTTCTGCTTCATCACATTCAAAGAGGAGGAACCAGTTAAGGGGATCATGGAGAAGAAGTACCACAATATTGGACTGAGCAAGGTAAAGGTCTTTTTGTATCACTGGCACATCAAAATGTATTACCTTGTTATTGCGATGGCACATGTAATGGTGACTTTATAACTTATACATGATCTGAACTGTTCTTCCTTTAGTGTGAAGTAAAAGTGGCAATGTCCAAGGAGCAGTACCAGCAGCAGCAGTACTGGGGGGGCAGAGGAGGGTACTCTTCTAGGTCTCGAGGAAGAGGTGGCGGTGAGTGGATACTACTCTGATGTAATAAATAATTCACCTAATATATATATAATGCACATAAATAACGCACCCTCTTAAGTCTTAATCCATAAAAATGATTCTGAAACTTCGGAAGAAGAAAATAAAATATAGGACCCACTTCATTTATTCACTTAATTGCAGAGGGTTCGATGAGATGAAGACTAGAAACAGTGGTAAAAAGTTAACGCTTCTTCAGCTCAATAATTACCATGTCATTTCTTGCTTTAATCTTCTGTACACAGTAGAAGGACAAAGTGAGGTTATGCTATGTCCAAGACTAACATACGAGACTCTTTAAACAGTTGTTCCTGAATAAATAAATATACTTTTTAATACAACACAAATGCATCACACATAAAACATTTAAAGTAAGTGCAGGGAAAACGGTGATCACGTTCAAACAAACATCATATGATGAAATCCTAAGGGTTGCCACATTTGTTTAAACTGCTTGTGGCTTTGTTCTGCTTCCCATTTTCTACTTTTAAAAGTTCTTGAATCAGAGTTCAAGTATCAAAATAGGTCACTGCCGCAGACGTTAAATTTCACTCCACTGTTCTGTACAGATTAGAACTTATTAGTTCATGCGTAATTGAGAAGTGTAATTGTTTTGATATTGGTCTGTAATAAAGGGTTAAAATGCCCAATAGCATAATATAAATAATTAAAACGACTTGATCTGAGCTTTTATAGAAGAGCTAACTAGCTGGTTATGAAAAAGAGCACTATGTACATCGAGTGGAGGTAAACAGATGAAAGGTTGCTTGATAAGAATATAATGAGCTCATTAAAATGTGTTTAATTGCAGGTCCCAATCAAAATTGGAACCAGGGTTATGGCAACTACTGGAATCAAGGCTATGGGAATTATGGCAATTATGGTTACGGAGATCAAGGATATGGAGGATATGGAGGATATGGAGGCTATGGAGGCTATGGAGGCTATGATTACCCTGGTTACAACAACTATTATGGATATGGTGACTACAGCAGTAAGTGAAACTCCCTGACGAGTTTTGTTTCATGTCAACCTTTCCCATTTCTTTTCCATTACTTTTGAAATGATTAAAACACCTGAAATCAGATGCTTTACCTCATTAGTAGATCAGTCTGGTGGATATGGCAAGTCGCCGCGGCGCGGTGGTCACACCAACAGTTACAAGCCGTATTAACAGAGGGAACTCATCTTCAAGTAGGTATGTAAAGAAACAAATGCACCTCTTACTTTGAACTAAAACTAGTTTTATTTACTTTGCTGTTTGGTAACATTTTTATTCATTTCCTCTTGTAAATGTCTTTTTCTCAGCACCATCAAGTGCTTTACAGTAGTAGTAACATAGAGGCTACGCTCATGTGGCGAATTATTTTAACAGCTGGCCTTCTGCTGCCTCTTTTGCACCTTTTTCTTTCTTTTTTTTAATCTGTAAAGTTAACAGGTAAAGTACTGCTACTACAGTAAATGGATGCCAAAGTTAAGGATGTGCAAGGAAACAGAAAAGGAAGTATGTTGTCTCCTAACTCTGACATACCTTGTTTGTACCTGCCAGCGGAGCTTCCTTGCAGGCCATGAGCTGACCCCAGATACTCTCAGGGCCCGCTCAATGCGGACCGGGTACGAGAAGCATACGCTCTCGAATGCTGCCATTTGGTATGGTCTTACAACATCCTGTATCAGCATTTCTAAACTAAACAATATGGGACACGTCCAGCTTTGTCATCTTTCTTTCCATTTTGTATTTCTTTGCAACTGTTTGTAATGTAAAACTTAAAATATACACATGTAATTTTCATTTTTTACAGGCCCCCCCACAAGTAATGATTTTGTAAATATGTAAAATTAACTATTTGCTTTTTGAAGGATACGTACAGCATTCTCTGGACTTTCCAGTTCCTATTGTTAATATATGCATTCCTAATCTTATCTTTAATGCTTGTTTCTTTATTTAGCTCTTGTAGCCAGTAGTCCATGAGCTAAATCCTGGTTGGTATTTGGACGAGACTGTGTTGGGGGGATAAAGTTCTTAACTTTGTGTACTTGTATTGCTCTGTTTTGTGTTACTGACAGCGATGGAAAGAGCTCCTCTTTGGTTAATTTTCCTGTAACGACAACATTTTTCTCTTTATAACCTTTTGTAAAACAAGAAGTTTCCTGAAATTTGCATGTAATGTTTTCTGTAATGTGTATTTTTTTGACCAATCGAAGAGTTCTTCCATTTGGTATTTTGACTTCTTCAATTTACTGCACTTCAGGATTTCTAGCTTATGGACTAACTTTTGTTACTGTAAAATGTTAAAGTTCTCATTTTGGTTTTTACATTGTAAACAAGGGGGATTCCTTTTTATTTGTAAATGAAGCATTTTGTGTTCATCTATAGCTGATTTGTGTTGTTTGTTTTCCGTAGGGTTCAGAGTGATGAAAGGCAGCAGAGTGAAGGTTTCCAGCTGAGAGCACTAGCTGATTGTAAGGACAAAATGAAGAGCACTGACCTACAGTAACTCTCCTCATCATTTACCGGAGTATTCTTAAACGTTTGATGTTTTGCATTTATTTAGATTGCTGCAAAGTTTTAAAGGTCCCATGTCATGGCCATTTCTACTGATCAGAATTCCATTGTTGAGGTCTACTAAAATACATTTATATTGTGCAATTTTCCAAACTCACATAGGTTTCTCATACAGCATCTCTGTATAGTATGTGTATTCACTCTCTGTCCTAAACGGCTTGTTGGAGCTCCTGCCCCCCCCTCCCTATGAGCCCAGTGGCCGTCTGCGAGACAACGAGACACAGCGAAACCTAGCCCGAACACACACCGACTCACAGCCTCGCCGCGTCCCGCCGTCTCAGGGAGGAGAAATCGGCGGAGCTGCAGCTGAGAAAAGATTGAGTGTGTGTGTGTGTGTGTGAGTGAGGAATTTCGCAGATTGGTCAATTTGGACGGCTCCGCGGACGTAACGTAACGGCTCCACGGATTGGTCCATTTGGAGAAATGTCCAACGAGGCGTTCTGGGGCAGCATAGACAGGTATCTTCTGTGTTTAGAGTTTTACTCACTACAGGGTGTACTTTGAGGGTTTGTGACTTTGCAGAACGTTTACATCAGGGGTGCCCACACTTTTTCAGCTTGGGGGCTTCTTTTAAAATGACCAAGCCCAAATGATCTACCTACAGGGCCGCCCCTGCCCAATCTGTGTCGTGGTGCTAGTGGACTAAACGGCGGATAAACTGTGGCGCGCTTACAATAATTGCGCCGCATAAGCGTATAATAGTGCGCCGCATTTGCGCTTCAGATGAGAAGGTGAGGGCCCCTCATAACTGCATGAACCCGTATGGCACAATGCAACTCAGACTGGCTTACCTGTACGTCAATCAAGTGGCCTATGCCATAGTAAGGATGGATGATAGGCTAACTTTTAAAAAATAAAATGTTTTTGTTTTTTGTTTTCTTCTTTGTTTTTCAATGCCATGCGATCTACCCACCCTACCCTTGCGGTCGACGTATTGGGCACCCCTGGTTTACATGCATAAAAACCTTCATAACACACAAGGGGACGGGTAATAACCGGAAAAGCATGACATGGGACCTTTAATAGTTTGCATTCCCCATCCCTTCTTGTTTTTGTATTTAATGTTCTCAAATAGCGTTTGTGAATTTGCCTCAGTGATTTATTACATAATCAAAATGCTTGATTGTTTGGAGCAGAACACATTATTTATATACAGTATTGTGGTAGCAAATGTTCAAATGTCTCCTCTTCATCATAATCATCAGTCATATAATACATATGTTATTATAGAGTGACAGTCATAAACACACATTGTATATACAGGTAATTGGACATAAAGATATGCGATAACAATAAAATAATTACACTCATTTGGATTTGTGATCCTTTGTGAAATATTAACATTAAGTCACATTTGAATGAATGTTGGAGTGTTCAAGGAAGTATTTCAGTCAAGCTTCTAGCAACTTAAGCTGTGCATTCTGAATTTCAACTTCTTATTTTACGGAGAGTCTTAATCAAAAAGCCTGCAGATGCTACAAAAACATGTACCCTTAAAATGTACATACATATTTCTTGAAATATCTGCTGAAATGAAAATAGACTTTCAAGAGTGCATTTAAATGCTGAAATGCTCAAAAGAGGTGAGCTTCATCCTCAATTTTCATTGCTTTCAGTCCTGAGCTGGTGAAGGACAATATTTGGTGATTTATATAACATTTGTGGCAAAGAGGATGATGAGGACAACGATGATCAGCACAATCACCCCGATTATAACCATCATTTTAATGTTTTTCCACCAGTATTTCCGGGCAACCCGCGTGGATGTTCTTTGGAACGTGTCAGCCTGAAAGAGACCAAGAGAAAACCTTTTTAAAACACCAGTGATGGAAGAACTACCCACATCCTTTTACTTAAAGGGGAACTCCACCGATTTCACCGAACAACTGTATAGTGTCTTTGTGTCCCCAGGTGGAGCTGCGGGAAGTCAGATATACAGTATATTGAAAACAACAGACTAGCACCTGAACCCAGACCTAACTTTTGAAGATCAAGTTGCATTGTGGGTAATAAAGGTGCCAGGTGAGAACAATTAGTGTATGGCCTAGTAAGAAAAATACATGAATTCCTGCTTTGTTCAGCACGAATATAGAAAATGGTGGAGTACTCTTTAAAGTAAAAGTACCAAAACTAGAATGTAATAGCACTTATTTACAAAAGTCATGCACTTTAAAATTAAATTACAAAAGTAGTAACAAGTGTTTAATTTGGGAAATAACTCATAAAATGACAGATTTTTTTTTTCACACAGTAATAAGGTTGTTAACCACTGTGTTTAATAAATATATTTTTTGCAGGTTAAATCTTAATATGAAAAGTAATTAAATTAGGCTACAAACTACATAACTCTAAAACAGCCAAAAACTGTTTAACTTTAATCTGTTAGTAAATTATTTAAAGTTATTTGGGTGTGGGGCATTGAGTAAGAGAGACAAAGAAAAAACAAAAACACAAATGTTTTATGGGGCCCTGGATTATTTACACAATATTATCATGTGTATTTTGAATGAGCAATATTTCCTGTTTTTATATCACAGATATGATTGATACATATATATTGTTACACTTTTACTCTGGCATGTAATGGAGAAGATCTATCATTTAAAGGAGAAGTAACCCTTTGAATGAAAGATATATGAAAACTAATTGTTAACATCAGGGTGGAAAGCCAACACTGAACCATCTGGATCAGATACTTACAGACGCCTGCAGGTCATCAGTCTTGCCGATCAGATCATCTAATCTGTCCCCTCTCTCCAGCACTTTGCTGATGTTATCTGTCAGAATAACTTTAACCTCGTTCACCTGACTCCGAACCTGGTCCATCTTAGCAGCCGAGCCAGAGGCCGGTGGCTGAGAGCGTGTGTCAGCCTGGGGAAAAGGAGGGGAAATGATTCTATTTTTAGTCTCCAAAAAAACTTCCCCATACAACGAGCTACACAAAAACCCAAACATAGGGGCAACAATCTATGTAGTAGAGCTGGGTGATGAAAACAAAATGGGGTTGACCATTGATGCTTTCACAATATGATTACACTGGGAATTCTGATAAATAAACATCAGTTATGTGGATTTATTGATGAATTGGGTAAAGGCAAATAGTAGAACCGCTATAACAGTCTGATACATATAGATAATAACATCACTTTACTGTAATGCAGCCAGGAAAAGACTACACTTCACGACAAATCTAAGACGGTGCCTAGTCTCCTATCAGGATTTCGATATATTTTCCATTTATTGCCCAGTTCTACTCTGCAGTCACGTTTTTAAATGACCAAACCTCACTTCCTGTTACTGAGTGAACAGGTGAGTGTGCTGTCAGGTGTTACAGAGGCCTTTGACTGTCACATGAAAAACCTAAACACAATTTTTATAAAGCAAACCTGCATAACACATTACTATACATTACTATTAAGTATTACTTGTACAGACAAATAGAGGATACGTTTAATTGATATGAAGGCGAAAAACAATTAGTGATCTATGACAAATGTAAACAATATTTAACTGACCTAAAGTCATTGTATAAAAAAGGAGAACTTACCATAGCAGCCCTCGGTTTGAGTCCCAACTAACAACTACACACAAAGTAAATCCTCCACAAAGTCCTGTTATCCAGTCCTGGCAGTATAATAAACAAACGCAGATATGTTCCTCTTGTGACAGAATGAGTCACACAGTTAGAGCTGAACAAATGTCTGCTGAAGGTTGCACCTCTCCCCTGTCACTCATTAACTACCTGTCGCCTCAATCAGAGTCTCATTGGTTCAACAGGAGCCAGTCGCCATGCACAACTCATGATCACATCCTGAACATGCAGCACCTTCATTTCCCGCTTCTCATGAACTCTGCTACTCAAGGAACAACTTTTGACAGTTAAACCGCACATTTTTCTAAACATATAATCCTGGTTTTATGCGTTTACTTACCATGAGTTGTCAGAGCGGCAGGATGGTGTGGAGCTGTGTGTCTGGCTAAAGGGCTTTCAGCAGAGAGATATTTGCAAGGCAATAAAGGGGTGAGGTCACTGTTGCTTCACTTCCTCATCCTGTGTTGTGCAGCTTGTTTCAGCAACCAGGGAAAGTGTATGTATGTGAATTTGCCTACTTGTTGCTGTTTTGGAGCACACATTGAACTATTTCCGGTACTCTTTTAACATTGACTCCACTTTATAAGATATATTCAAGAACACTAAACCATAACAAAAAGCTTTGGTAATAAATCTTGCCATGGTGGAAGAAATATTCAGATCATTTAGTTAAGGAAAAGTAGCAACACTATTCTGTTAAAATACTCCATTAAAATGGATTATTATTACTGATGTGTTAATGTGTAGCATTTCATTGTTGGTTAGTTGAGGTTGAGCTCATTTGAATGATATTAAAATGGTATTATATAGGCTGTTTGGTAGCTTATTCTTTAACGATGTATTGCATACTGCTCCTCATATGTTTTGTGTTGGAAAGTCAGATCAATTTAGATATTGAGCAGGTCAAGAAAGACCTTGATAGGACTTAGTTAGTACTGTGGAAGTACTTGACTGATAAAGAGGATCTGGACATGAGTCATGCAAACTGAACATTGGGAGTGTGCTGCACTTTGGCTAAATACTAAAGAAACAGTGTGGGTATATGTTTGCTTTAAGTCAAATAAAAAGATATACATTAGTCTTTAATATACTATAACCTTACTTTAAATAATCCAGGTTACTTGGACAAGCTGTGCAGTATGTGAGTAGTAAAGGACATTACATCATGCTGGCTGCACCTTTTACAAGTAATCAAAGTTTTCATGGACTTTGTACAGTTGAAGATATCAAAAGTCGAAAGAAAATGCACAATACAACCACAGGGGATAGACACAACAACACAGTCACATGTACACTGTAATGCATTTCATTACAGTAGACATGCAATTTTCATACTTATGAGAAGTTTATGATGATGTTTTAGACTGAACAGAGGTCTTTATTCTGCTATAGGAATCAGTTTTCTCTAACTGCTGTAACAAACTGTAAATAATAACAGAAATACGTCATGGTGGTGTTTTTTCCATGTGGATAAGACAGATCAAATAGCTGAGACACTTTTCAATATATGGCAAACGCCATGAATTATGTGGTAAGTTTTCAGGCAAACTCTTAGTTTGTTTCCAACAAAGAAAAGTAAATGGGCATACAAAAATTTGAAACAAAACTATAATCTTGCCAAAACAAAAAAATATATACGAGGCAACAATCAGGGCTATCTCAAATGTGTACTAAGTTCAATTTAAGTAAGCATTTTTTTTGTAATGTTTGTGTTAAAATCATATACAAACAATATATTCATATATCTATTTCATCCTGAAACTGACCATTCTTCATAATAGCTACTTTTACAAAATAAAACATTATATGTACACTGTTGTACTACAAGAACTTCCTTCTCCACTGACACATGTTACCAAATTAAGGATGATTTGAGGTGAATTGCTTTAAAATAAGTTTATTCTATTGATGTATTATTTAGTTTTTAAATATGTAATATATTATATTGGTGTATGTATTATAGCTATACTATTATTTACTTTGTTATATTTGTTCTATGTTGCTGTTTGTTTCTTTACTTACAAACCATTTAAATGTAAAAACATTTCATGATTATTTTTGAAAAATACAGAGAAAAAAAAGGTGATGATTAAAACAATAAAATATGAAAATACAGTATGTGTAAATTAGCTAAATATATTTTAAATTATGAGAGGGGAAACTGTTCACCTGACCTGTTGCGCCATCTTGAGGCTGCCCGAGCTGCTGCCTGAAGGACCTTCACTTGTAAACATTCCTCCTTAAAATCACACATCCGTTAACAGGCAGCCGTTAACAGGAAGCCAATGTAAGTATTAAGTAGCCTTCATATGTTTTAACCGTGTACGACTTTGATGGATGTAATGAACGACTGTTAGTGATCGTTGCCTCGGTTGTTTTCTTTAATCCGCCTGACCTAAATCCACTTTACTGCCATTCCATGTCTTTGTTATCGTAACTTCCAGAGTTAATGATTGATTTGTATATCATTAGTCGGCGGACATCAGAAGGCACTTTCACCTTAGAGCTGGTGCCGTTAATAACGTAACATTCAACTTTCCTGACACCACCACCGACCGACGAGGCGCTGAAGATGAACCCGAGAGGAGCAGCCTGCAGTGGGAAGACTTTCTTGTTCACCTCCGAGTCTGTGGGAGAGGGACACTCAGGTAATTTAGACAGCCTTTACTGTATACATGTGAACCTGAGTGTATACCTGTGTGTACTTTGTATACATACAGTCTATGGTTGTAGTATACTGGGTACACACACAGTGTGGACATGTTCCTTATTAAAAGTCAATGGTGAAAGAAGTACTAAATCCAGTGGTGGGTTAGGGTGGATTATTATGAATAAAACTACTTGACAGTATACAAAAAGTAAATATTTGCTCTAGTTTTACCACTTACAACATTAAAGTGATGACCACATTAATGCATCAATAATTATTACAGTTATATGATTTATATATTCTGAAATGGGCCATTCCTCATTCTGAATTATATTTTTGAAAGCAGCATTTTTCCATGTAATTTAGTACTGGGAATTTTACTTGCATAATATTTACATACTTTATTAGGCTGGCTTGCAGCCCACAGTTACTGAGGATTTCAGTAATAAAACACAAGTGTGTATTCAAGGCGTATGTCCCTGTTCATCTCTGACTTTGTGTTCACAGATAAAATGTGTGATCAGATCAGTGATGCTGTGCTCGATGCATACCTGAGTAAAGACCCCGACTCTAAAGTGGCTTGTGGTGAGGTTTATGTCTTATAATATTGAAATGTATCATGATGCACCCAACCCCTAATTCCTAAAAATGCTTCAGACTTGTTTGTGAAAAAAAGTAAAATCATTGAAATAAACTGTGATTATTCATTGCATTGATTAAAACAGTTTGTTTAACATCAGTGTTTCTGAATAGAGATACATAAACCTCCAAGGCTACTTTGAATACTGTAAGAAGACAAAAAGTGAATATGATGGACCAAATCCAATAAATAAATGTGGACTTTTCCTATTAAATGTTCCTTTTTTTCAATGCAAATGTTAACATTATTACATTCATGGTAGTGTTGGTTCATTCTAGACAGGAAGCCAGTTTGAGATTAGATTAGAGTAGAATACATTTACTTCTTTGATTACAGATTGGGAAATTGTTTAGTTCCCCTATTGAATGAAAGACAAAGATCCAGAATATAGATTTGTGGTTGAGACATCACTCGAGCAGAAAAGCAAATATTTTAAAGAAGTTTCATCATTGAATAGCATATAATAACACTTCTCTAAATGATACACAAAGTGAGTCATGTTTTGTTTCAGAATGTGTGGCGAAGACCGGCATGATTTTGCTGGTTGGAGAAGTGACATCTAAGGCCATCGTGGATCTCGTGACAGTGGTCCGAGATACCGTGAAGAAGATTGGCTATGATGACTCTTCAAAAGGTAGTTTTCTTATTTTACAACTTGAAGTTTTTGCAGAAGGTTCCCATGGTATTTAAGTAAAGGACTCCCTACTGTGATGTACAGGTTTTGACTATAAGACGTGCAACGTGCTGGTGGCCCTGGAGCCGCAGTGTGCCGAGATATCAGACTGTGTGTTTGAAGGCAGGGATCAGGAGGACATCGGTGCCGGGGACCAGGTTGAGTGTATACCTTTTTAATCCTTAACTTTATCCAAACTACCATGTGGATTTAGAATTGTTTTTTGGTATTAAAAAAGTTATAAAAGGTCACTAAGGTAAAGTAGCCAGTAGTACATTTGACATACAATAGTTTACAATGAGGTTGTCATTCAATTTAATGTGTTTTCATTGGCTACTTCATTTCTATATTTCCTTACAACACAATTAGACTGATTAGACTGAGATGTGGATTCACACAATGATTATTTGGCTTTAGCAACTGCTTAATGTAAGGCAAACTTATGCAGCAATGGAGAGTCAGGACTCGGAGAGACACGAGGAGAGTTGGAGCTTTGATGTCAAACACTGGTATTTTATTACAAGTATCGGCCGGAGAATTCATATCACAAGTCACAGCAGCAAGAGGTTCTGACTGCACGGCTGGGTTGCCACATCTGCCCAGCCTCTCCCTCGATAGACCTTTTAACTAGTTTACAGAGAGTTAATCAACAGCTGGGCACACTGGAGATATCCCCAACATCTGGAGACACTGAATCACTTGTCTGACTCTTGTCTGACTCGGTCATAAAACTGATAATGAGTGCAGCAGCACGTTCTTTAAAGGAGATAACAGAGTCAGGGTTGGTTATTAACGTCAACACACAGAAAAGGTTAGACTCCTAGGAGTAAAACAGAATTAATCCCCAACACTTAATCTGTCCCCATAAAACAACAATTGTAATTCTCAAAGCACCTGCATAAGGGTGAAATTCAAACCTTACTGGGCTGCCAGACAAAACGTGTGTTGATTCTCCTGTACTGTTTGCAGGTATTTCAATTAGGAGATAGTCTTACTTTGTGGCAAAAGAATTGAATGCATTTAAAACTGTCCCAATTCCCAAAGATCAGCAATTGTTGCCTCATGTAGTAACAGGGAAATGATTAACAACTGAATAGAGTTGGTTGTAACAGAAGTGCATTGATAAAGGGTTTTATACAAATTATAAAAAATCAAGTTGGTATAAATGAATTACAAATGGTATCTTTCCTCTCCCTATGCTATAAATCCTCATGGGTGTTAAGTGATAAGAAAGCCTTGGACAGAGGTACATTTTAACCTGATGGTGGTGCTAGATGACCATTTGTAGTTTTACCTTAATATGAATGATATGATGGGGAAGGTAAAAGTCTGAATGACATTTTATGACCATCTTTACAATAGTTGCTGCAACATTTGTGTAGCTAATTTAAAACGTTAATTATCTACAAAATAATGTATGCATTGTGTTCTGGTGCATAAGCTCTCATTTAAGTTGTATTTAGTTAAGCTTAAATATATGATCTTGACACTTTTTCCATAACTGCTCTGACTGGGTTTCCATATCTATGGATCTGCCTGTCTCCTCAGGGTTTGATGTTTGGATACGCCACAGATGAGACGGAGGAGTGCATGCCGTTAACCATCCTACTGGCTCACAAACTCAACTACAGGTTAAAGGAGCTGTCACGCAACGGAGAGTGTCCCTGGATAAAACCAGACTCCAAATCACAAGTGAGCAATCTTAAAGTCTGACAGAGGGGCAATAAAGAAATCAAATATCAGGCCGCTGGGTGTGAGGCAGCAGGGACAGGACACATTCAGACAATCCAGGTCCCGGCTCATGTGGCTGGAAAGAAAGGCATGAAAGAACAATGACAATCTGACGAGGAGTAGCTGGAGATTGGTTGGTATTTATACTCTGAGAATGTGGGGAAAGGAACAGGTGAGCAGGTGGATCTAGGAATTAGTGGTAGGGCTGCGGTTGAGTACTCATTTTTGCTTAGTAAGGGTAATAACTTGTAATGACCGGGAAGTATAAAGCGGCAGCCATGACAAGAGCTGGTCAAAATCTGTAAATGACAAGAAAAGGTGCTTTAATGCTTTCTTGACCTATGTAGCCTGGTGTAAGTGCAGTGTCCTCTCCTAACTCTTTAAGAAACATATTTTGTTAACCTCATGACATTTTCTTTTGAGATCAAGGATAAGTTCTTAGAAAAAGGCATAGGCTGTTATCTTTGGTTCAATAGACTGTTGTTTTGAAATGCTGGTGTAAAGAGTTAGCGTAATTGTTTTGCCCTTGTTGCTGCAGGTCACAGTGGAGTATCGAGACAATATGGGAGCCATGGAGCCGCAGCGTGTTCACACTGTGGTCATCTCTGTACAACACAGCCCGGACATCAGCCTGGAGGAGATCAGACGCAATCTGATGGAGAAGGTGGTGAAGGTCGTCATTCCCGCCAGGTACCTGGATGACAAAACCATCTACCATCTACTGCCAAGTGGGACATTTCTTATCGGTGGCCCACAGGTGAGTGAGGACTAAACCACCGATGGAAATGTATTTGCAGAAATGCAGGAGCTGATGTTTTTTTTTTATCATCAGAGCGATGCAGGACTCACAGGGCGTAAAATCATTGTGGACACATATGGAGGCTGGGGTGGGCATGGAGGAGGGGCTTTCTCCGGGAAAGACTACTCCAAAGTGGATCGGTCCGGAGCTTATGCAGCTCGCTGGGTGGCCAAGTCTCTGGTGAAAGCAGGACTCTGCAGGAGAGTCCTGGTTCAGGTGAGGAAGTTCATTAAGTTGCACTTATTGTATTGAGTAGTGTGAATGTTATTTCTGTATTTTCCCCATGTGATCTGTGGTGACCCTAGAAACGATTATACTCTTATCTTTACAAACAGGTCATTATTTGGTGTCTAATGTGCGATGATTCCTTTCAATCTTGCACGTGATGTTGTTAGATATCTGAGCAATGATTACTGAAATTGTCTGTTTTTCCCTTTAGATCTCCTATGCGATCGGTGTGAGCCGCCCGCTTTCCATCTCAGTGTTTCACTACGGCTCATCCAACAAGGATGAAGACGAGCTGCTGCAAATAGTTGAGAAGAACTTTGACCTGAGGCCTGGCGTCATTGTAAAGTATGTGAGGTTTTTCACAGCTAAAAGCATCATATTTCTAGTGTTTATTGACACATTTTAACTGTTTAATATTGACTTCATTTACAGAGATCTGGGTTTGAAGCGGCCAATTTACCAGGAAACCGCCTGCTACGGTCACTTTGGCAGAGAGGATTTCCCCTGGGAAAAACCAAAGCCTCTGGTGTTTTGAGTTTTAAACAACTGTCAGTTTTTTCTTAACAATCAGTCGTAAAACAATCAAGGGTCAAATAATCTTAATTTGTATACATGACTGAATGCAGTTCTTACTTTATCTGACCTTTAGTTATTAAGGTCAGTGCCGAACATTTATTTTGATTTTTAAAAAAATCTGATTGAAGTACTTGTTTGTAAAAGAATATGTCGTTTTTTGTTAAACTGTCAGATACAATTTTGGTAATTTGTAATAAATAATATTTGGTGATTAAAAAATGATGCTGGATGCTTGCATGACATGCATTTTTTTGTCTTTATTAACCTATATTGATTATCATGGTCAGTGTCAAGGGTCAGTGTATGTTTTGGTCATTGGATTTTCTTTTCACAAATGGATATTCAAAAACAAAAAACGACTGGATATTTGATTTTCGTTTTAAAATTGAAAAACCAAAATTGAAATACAAGGTGTTTTTCTTTATCATGGTCAAAAATGGATTTACTAAACTTAAAAAACGGGATGATTTTCATTTTTTACTTCTCAAAACAAAAAATAAAATCACTAGAAAACAGAAACAAAAAAAGCCCCGTTTTTTCATATTCTGCTACCGGAAGTTGTCTTTCAAAATAAGAGCGCAGATGAGCTCGGTCAATCCGTGTATCTACGGTCCATTTGTTTTCACAACGAAAACAGCCAAGACACATTTTGAACCCAGAAAATGTATGTTATTAAGGGCTGTAAACATAATAGGCCTATGTCTAAAATGGACAACATTGTTTGGAGATTTCAACTATACAGCGATTCTGCACTGCGGTCAACTCAGCCGTATCTCCAGTTTGTTATTATTTTTTCTGCCAATAGTCCTTCATGAGATCGATCCTGTTGGACTCAGTAGGCTAGTATTGAAACTACTCCCACAAGTACTATGAAGTACTTACTGTGTACTTTTTGAGTAATCCTCTGTCAATGTCCCCTCCTGAGTACAATAATGCATGTTTCTCTGCTATTTTGAATAAGCGTTAAAACACCTTTCTTCATGAGACTGATATTGTTGGACAGAGTATTTTAAGAGGATGGTAGACATGATATCAGCAATACTTCCAGTCAGTAGTCCGTCAGCAGCATTTTTACCCCTTGGAAAGTCTTGCCCGCTATTTAAATTGACTTGGATTGAAGTTAATAACAATATTGATATTATATAGATAAGAGATATGCATATTTGATGCAGTCTTTCTGAACACTTTTAAAATACTGCAAATTAAGAGTATTTGTAATGTTCTGCACAGATAGTGCCCTAACTTGAAAACACGTGGCAGCTTTATTAATACAGCAGATGAAAAGATTTGTGGAAGGATAAATACTTCATGGGCTTCAATGGCTCTCTAGATAAAGGGCGTTTTATGGTTGCTTGTATTATCCTCAGATAGTGGTTTGTTTAAATAACTAGTGACATTTGAATAAATATTGCAAAAAAGGGCTCCAAAAAAAGGCATATATCCTGGCCGGCTTAGCCAGTGTGTATTTGTTCAAGCACCACAAGATTCATAGTTTATAAAGTACAATTCTGGGCCATTGATTGTGTCATTTCTCCAAACACATACAGTAAAAATGCCTGTTTTTGAAGCCTTAAAATCGTGCAGGAAAATGAGTTTACATTGTATTATACTTAAAGACAGGACTATTCAGTCAAGAGAAGAGAAAAAAGGAAAGAAAATTGTTATAATGGGTGATGTAACATTACTGAGTCCAACAGGATCAATCTCATGAAGGACTATTGGCAGAAAAAATAATAACAACCATTACATTGGTACGATGTTAACACTTAGTTATGAAATCTATACCTTATGATAGAAACCGAACCATGATCGCGGATGGAATCGTAAAAGGTGATGTTTTATTTCTAAACAGACGAAAATATCTCACACAAGATTTTGAGTAGAAATTTGACATCTAAATAAAAACATTGTTTAATTTAAAGGGGTTTAAGCGTGTACTTACTTAAGAATTTCTTATAAAACAATATACTACTGTTCTAACTTATTATACAAGATGGGAGTCACACAAAAATCCCTAAAATTACAAGGAGAAGTAATGAAATATTACATGGTTAACTAATTAAGCTACCGATTATTTAGACAAAAAGAAATGCATAAAGCGCAACCAATTATTCACACAAATACACATTTGAGTGAAGTGAGGGCAAAAGGAAGAGTGGGAGACTAACAGTTCGGTATGCTGGGGGAGTGCAAGTACGGCCTGGTACGGTTGAGGAGTGACAAGGACAGGAGAGGAGGCAGGTGGAAGAGGAGTCAGGTTAGGCGAGAACCTAGAAGGGCGACAATTGAGAAAAGGTCACCGGGTTGACAAAGCGAAAAGTAGAGGAGTAAATGTCAGAGAAGCCGACAACGTACCTCCCGCATAAGGCGAGAGTACAGGGTGTGAGAACGAGAACTGGTTTAGAGCACCGAGTCGAACCTCGAAGTACAGGACACCAACCCTGGCTACTCTCACACGGAAAAATAACAGTCGACCAAAACCAAGACCTACGGAAGTCCACCCTCTACCAAGACCTTACGTCCAGAGAGCAACAATAAAAGTCGAGAAAAAGAGACAGACAAGCTACCTCTTCCTCCTCAGACGGCACACCACTCCAGAAAACAGACGAACCTTCTACCCCAGCAATCGCCAGACTGTCCGCCTCTCTCTACTCTCCTCTCTTCTCTAGGCCCATGCATAATGGGATACCAATTAGATTAGTGTGACTCATTTTATTTAGGTTAGGAAAGGAGAGATAAGAATGGATTAGTATGATAAACGAATCTACAATTTACCAGTAGATTTTGGGACTCAATTACAGATGATTACCAAAATGGTATAGGGATTTGTAACGAAAGTGGGGTGACATTGTACCGATGAGGTTTATGACGAAATTCCTTTGTTAGAAGAAGATATTTAACTTTTATGGATGTACAAAGTTCGTGGTGTATAAAGATATTTTCCTTGCAGGGGTATAAAAGAAGTAGTGAAATTTAAGGGGAAAAAGGGTGACAATAAATCTTTTATTCATTGAAAACACTGACCTGTAAGACATAGTCACGTTACAGCGGGTGATAGACGAACCTTAAAACGCCGCCCAAACAAGTATATCAAACATGCATTGTTTGACATGAACACCCAATCATCGGACAGAAGATGACATTAAGTAAACGTTATTAACACGAAGTCTTAACCAGTGGTCATTACATCATCAAGTATTGAATTGTCCCCCACAAAAGACCATGTCTGATTTTGGTACCCTTAGGTCACATAAACCTCTAAGGGGATTAGACCAATTTAGGGGTAGTGAATGTATAGGACTAGTGAAATTTGGGTAAAGTAGAAAACAAGGGGAAAGATTCATTATGAAATAAGTATACACCCACAACCACATTGAAGAAACATTATTATAAGCGGATAGACACACATGCTCAACTGAGGAGGAGAACAACGAGTCGAACAACAAAAAAAAAAAAGAAAAAATGAGACCACACAACACTTAAACAGACCTATAACGACCACAGACATCAACACACACCGTAACATCATTAATAAAACGACAGCTAATAAACTGAAGGAAGGTAAAAGACATATATACACACAATTTACATTACTTGTGTAGTTAGTTATGATAAAGACTAGAGTATAGGGATCCACGGGGATATGATATAATCAACCAACCGACAAGAACCCAGTCACATACAAACACCAGTAACTAAAAAAGAAAAGTGTTTACCTATAGTTTTTGTTTTTGCTGACCTATAAACTAAAGCAAAATTTTAACTTTTTGGTTTTAACTTTATGCGTCCGCAAAAAGAAATAGTACAAGTTTTTTAACCTAAGATTTGAATTTTTTCCCTACTAAAAGTAGATGATGAGTTGTTGTACTTTATTATTTTTAGGTGATCTTTTGTCTTTGTTTTTTTGATGGCAAAATTACCAAAAACTATAAACAGGCCTATACCCAGTTTTATTCTCGCGTCTGACTTCGGCTGCTCCTTTCTTTGTGTTTCGTGACATCGACGATTTTTTGTAGGACTTAATGATGTCTGGACACTTTTCATCCTAAAGGCAATAATATTAGTTTCCCTTAAATCGTTAGTGTTCACTTTGCCGTTCTGTGTGAAACTCGGGTTCTATTACTTACAATAATTCCCGCCAACATTTATATTATCCGGCTACAGATTTTACCTGGTGGTAACAAAATCCTCACCTGAAGTTGCATATGTCGCTAAGACGTGACGCCAGTGGGTTCCGGC